TTTTTTTTGAGACAGAGTTTCTCTCATGTTACCCAGGCTGGAGTGCAATGGCGCGATCTCGGCTCACTGCAACCTCCGCCTCCTGGGTTCAGGCAATTCTGCTGCCTCAGCCTCCTGAGTAGCTGGGATTACAGGCACGCGCCACCATGCCCAGCTGATTTTTTGTATTTTTAGTAGAGACGAGGTTTCACTATGTTGACCAGGATGGTCTCGATCTCCTGACCTCGTGATCCACCCGCCTCGGCCTCCCAAAGTGCTGGGATTACAGGCGTGAGCCACCGCACCCGGCCTTCATATTCTTATTAACCAACAGAACTTCACCCTCTCTGAAATGCCTATTCATATCCTTTTTTTTTTTTTTTTTTTTTTTTTTAGACTGGGTCTTGCTCTGTTGCCCAGGCTGGAGAGCAATGGTGTGATCTCCACTCGCTGCAACCTCTGCCTTCTGGGTTCAAACAATTCTCCTGCCTCAGCCTCCCAAGTGGCTGGGATTACAAGCACCTACCACCAAGTCCAGCTAATTTTTGTATTTTTAGTAGAGACAGGGTTTCACCATATTGGCCAGGGTAGTCTAGGACTCCTGACCTCCTGATCTGCCCACGTTGGGCTCCCAAAATGCTGGTATTACAGGCGTGAGCTGCCGCTCCCAGCCTTTTGTGCATTTTTTTATTTTGAATTCTAGTCTTTACTTTTGTTCCTTCATAAGAAACTGTGTATTATGCGTATTAATCCTACACTCACATTTTAAAAAATTGTTTTATTTTATTTTATTTATTATTATTAATTTTTGAGACGGAGTCTTGCTCTGTTGCCCTTACTGGATTAAGGAGGCCAGATCTTGGCTCACTGAAACCTCCCACCTCCCAGGTTCAAGTGATTCTCCTGCCTCAGCCTCCCGAGTAGCTGCGATTACAGGCATGCACCACCATGCTTGGGTAATTTTCTCTTCTTTTCTCTTTTTTTTTTTGAGACAGAGTCTCGATCTGTCACCAGGCTGGAGCGCAGTGGTGCAATCTCGGCTCACTGAAACCTCCGCCTCCCAGGTTCAAGCGATTCTCCTGCCTCAGCCTCCCAAGTAGCTAGGATTACAGGCACCTGCCACCACACCCAGCTAATTTTTGTATTTTTAGTAGAGACAGGGCTTCACCATGTTGTCCAGATGGTCTGGATCTCCTGACCTCATGATCCACCTGCCTCAGCCTCCCAAAGTGTTGGGATTACAGGCGTGAGCCACCTTTTTTTTTTTTTGAGAAAGAGTCTCGCTCTGTCACCCAAGATGGAGTGCAGTGGCTGGATCTTGGCCCACTGAAACCTCTGCTTCCAGGTTCAGTAATTCTTCAGCCTCAGCCTTTCAAGTAGCTGGGATTACAGGCGCCTGCCACCATGCCTGGCTAATTTTTGTATTTTTAGCAGAGATGGGGTTTCACTATGTTGGCCAGGCTAGTCTCAAATTCCTGACCTCAGATGATTGCCCACCTCAGCCTCCCAAAGTGCTGGGATTACAAGTGTGAGCTATTGCACCTGGCCATGCCTGGCTAATTTTTGTATTTTTTAGTAGAGACGGGGTTTCGCCATGTTGGCCAGGTGGGTTTAGAACTCCTGACCTCAGGTCATCCACCTGCCTCGGCCTCCCAAAGTGCTGGTATTACAGGAGTGAGCCACTGCATCCAGTCCCATATACACTTTACTTATTTATTTACTTATTATTTTGTGATGGAGTCTTGCTCTGTCGCCTAGGCTGAAGTGCAGTGGCTTGATCTTGGCTTATTGCAAGTTCAAGCAATTCTGCCTCAGCCTCCCAAGTTGCTGGGTCTACAGGTGTGCATCACCAGGTCCAGCTAAGTTTTGTATTTTTAATAGAGACAGTTTCACCATGTTGGCCAAGCTGATCTTGAACTCTTGACCTCAGGTGATCCCCTACCTTGGCCTCCCAAAGTGCTGGGATTACAGGTGTGAGCCACTGCGTCTGGCCCCCATATCCACTTTAAACATTGCAAATATTTTCTTAGTGGGGGCATATAATTTATTTTCTATCCAGCAGTCTTAATGAACTCTTTTCTTGGTTTTTCATTGATTCTGCTAGGTATTCTACTGATTCTACTAGGTTTTCTACAAAGGTAATTATGTCCGATGTAAACAAAACAGTTTTACATATTCCCTTTCAATCTTTACATCTTGTTGGATTTTTTGTTATTCTTTATTTTTTTTTTTTTTTTTTTTGAGACAGAGTTTCACTCTTGTTACCCAGGCTGGAGTGCAATGGCGCGATCTCGGCTCACCGCAACCTCCGTCTCCCGGGTTCAGGCAATTCTTCTGCCTCAGCCTCCCGAGCGGCTGGGACTACAGGCACGTGCCACCATGCCCAGCTAATTTTTTGTATTTTTAGTAGAGACGGGGTTTCACCATGTTGACCAGGATGGTCTCGATCTCTTGACCTCGTGATCCACCCGCCTCGGCCTCCCAAAGTGCTGGGATTACAGGCTTGAGCCACCGCGCCCGGCCCTTATTATTCTTTTTTTATTTTTTATTTTTAGACGGAGTTTCGCTCTTGTTGCCCAGGCAAGTAGAATGACTCGATCTCATCCACCTCCTGGGTCCAAGCGATTCTCCTGCCTCAGCCTCCCAAACAGCTGGGATTACAGGCATGCACCACCACACCCAGCTACTTTTGTATTTTTACTAGAGATAGGGTTTTTTTTTTTT